AGATGATTTCTTTTAATTCCTTATATCAATCTGACTTTGGGCAAAAGAAAGAAAAAACTAATTGTGGGCCTTTCTATATGGAACAGGTATGGAATAGAAACAAAGGGCACTTCATAATATATTTCCATTTGTTTGTTGTTTTTTTTAAAATCCTGCCTTTAAGTAATTTAACTCCAGAAAAAGAAGGAACATGGCCCTTTCCACCTCTGTGTTTTGCACTGCTTTTCTGGAGACTTCATAACATACTACAGCAAGGTTGATACACTTACAGTATCATGTATTTTGGGAGTGTGGAAGATGAGGGTTAGCACACCCCTGCTCAATCCCCCTTTCCCAATACAAGAGAGCAGTAAAGGTGTGGAAGCAGTAAAGGGTGCCCATGTGTGAGCAGTGACAAAGAGGTAGGAAGCATCTTGCTCATGGTAACAACAGCAGCATACCAGGGAGCAGAGATTCCAGCAAAGGGAAAAATGGCATCAGGGATCAGAGCAGGCAGCAATAGGCTCCTCCAGCTGTGGAATTTCAACAGGCAATTCACATGAACCATATCAACCGCCTCGACTTCACAGTATTATTTGATAAGCAACAACAAAATAATACCTATCGTATATGCCTTGCACTCAAGGTATGAATACTCAGGCTCCCCAAAACACCAAGGTTCTTCTGCAAGCCAGTAAAGAAAAAAATGTTATCATTTCTCTATGATTCACTATAATCAGAATGGTGATACCCAGAAATGAGGCAATAAATTACATCATGTGGAACATGCTGGAATTGCTTAATTTAAGGTGCTTGTCTGCAAATTGCATATGCAGTAGGGTTGACATACTAGAACATGCTAGAGCAGCTCCCATGCCTCCTCTGTGCATCTGACTACAAACTGGAAAGAGCACAGGGCAGAAATTCCCCAAACATTGCCTTGTGCCCATCTAATAAAGCAAGAATAAAGATCTCCCTTTGTAAAAAACTTTTAAATCCACAACTGGGGTGTGAGTTTGTTTGGTTTTATGGCTTTTAGGATTTTTTTATTCTTTGGGGTCCTTTTGTGGCAGTGGTTAGATTTTTTTTTTTTTCCCTATTTAGGGCTTCTCTAGATGGAATAATATTATTGAGAACTGATTACACATACAAGACCCAAACTGAGAAAGAGAATAAGCATTTACTCTCTGACTGAAAATCCTTTTCTCTGAAATCAGTTTGTGTGTACCCACAGGGCGTTGGGTGCAGCAAACAGTTAAGCAGTTGCAAGATACAGTAGTAAGAGAGTTCTCAGTAATGTCACAGAAAAATAACAGCATTATGCTTTAATACAGGTATGACGTGCCTCAAGGAGGCCCATCACAGCTCATCTACCTTTCGCTCAGGGAATCATCAGAAGCACACAGCCATCACGCTGTGAAGTTGGAGGCTAAACAAATATTTCAGAATCCCTGCTCATGTATCTGTGCCAAAACTGGACACTCTCAGCCCTCGTTAAACTGGGGAGTTAAAAGCAAATCCAGCAAACAGTTTAATTCAGTTACTTAGAAGGAAGCAGCCGGTTGTAAAGTTTGCCTGTGCCTGATGTAGATATGCCAACATTAAGTACATCCTCATCCTCCTGATTCACACCATTTTCAATATTTGACTGTTCCTTGTTCAAGAGCCACAGCTTCTCTTTATGAAGCCCATTAAAAATGATAACGTATTACACTATAAATATGTTTAAATTAGGAAGGGGGAGCTCATAACTTTGCAGGGCTCTCTGAAGATCCAAACAACTGTGCTCATTTCACAGCTCACTGATTCTTTAGAAGCATTAGAGAGTCCTGGAAATAAAATGACAATACTTATTACATTTGCTCTATCTCATAGCCAGTGAGTTTTTCTTATGCCCTAATGGTGAAAAAAATCCTTGTGGATGATCATCTTAGAAGAACTGAATAAGCAGTTCTGAGCAACTAAAAGATACTGCTTTATTTTTATTTCCTTTCCCTCTTTTAAATCCTGAACTGCTCTTTACATCAGAGTCCAAAAGGAGTTCAGAGTTTGCAAATTCACGTCACTTCTGCTTGCGTACAGATATTATTTATCTAATCCAACTTGGACTTCCAGCAACATTCCCGTTACACAGCAGTCTAATGTGAAACAGGTCACCTGCAAACACTGAATCAAAGTTTTATGCATGTGACATTACAAGAATAAACTGTTCAGTAGCACGTAGGGTCAAACCAGACTCCCTTGAGTCTCCTTGAAGCTTCAGAATTCCAGCAAAGTCAGCTGGATTCCTTGGAAAGGTTAAGCACCCTCTGAATGAACACCCCCTTGCAATGACTGGTAGTAAAGAGCAGAAGGGGTTGGAACAAAGGATTCTGCAATATAGATGATGCCCAAAGGACAACTGCAGAGCAGTACAGCGAGTAAAAACCAGAAAGTCTTGTTCCCTGCCACTGCTCTTTACAGTTTCCTCATATTTTTATTTAAAAAACAAAGCTACTATCCTTGTATGCTCATGTTTACACATTGTCTCTTTCAGAGCCACAGACCTTCTCTCACATGATTTTTCTTCCACTAGCACTCTACAGAGAATTTAACTCCCCTAAAATATTTATCTTAATTCTTTTTAATTTGCCCAATAGATCCTTGCAATTCTGTAGGCTGATAATTTTAAGTGCAGCTACTTCACTAACTTACAGACATAGCAATATCTTCCAAGTTGAAGCATTGTTCATTTTTTAAAGAATTATGGGAAATTATCCCTCAAATGAAATTTATTTTGGCCTTAGCCAAAGGGTTTAATACCTTGGAATAAAATAAGTGGGAAACAAGACATTGAAAATAAACTTGTGCAGATTCAAAATAGAGTATTTGAAGTTCAAAAAATGCCTGTTCTGACATTATGTCTTCTCTTTTTCTTCTCCCGGTTAAACAGCACCTCAAGCAAAACTTGTGAAGTTCCCCAAAAAATTTTTTATCTTGGCTAAAACTAGTATTTGCAAAAGGATCATAGACCACCAGGGGTTACTGCTTTTAGCTCCAGGTGACCCTTACTGGCCTCAATTTGTGCTACCACCAATACTCACAGAACATTCTCAGGTATTCAGCCTTTCCAGCAGTGATCCCACACTCCCTCTCTGGGTCAGCACTAAGGCAAGGAGGAACCGAGCAGCACCAGTTTTGTAGTTTATCAGAAAGTGAAGTAGTGTCCCTCTGAGAGCCATGGTGATTTCAAGCACTGGATAGTTCGCTTTCTCCTCCCACCCCTCATGTTCAAAAAAAGAAAATATTCCATGTGGTTTTAAGAAGACAAAGGATATTTTAGACTGTGACTTACAGAATTACAGTTTATAGCACAACAAACATCTGGCTTGCCATTGAGCTCCAATGCATACATGTCAATTGGTACAGGTCAGTGGCACGCTGAACTATCCCAAGGTTAGAAGTGGACATCAATACAGGACTTCCCTTTAGCACACCCACATTATTTTATTGGGTTAGTTCTCCAAGAGCCAGCGACCACCTAGACTTGTACATCTGCAGTGTATGTGAGAGGGAAAAAACAAGCAAAAAGTGTTGTGTAGCACCAGACTTGGAGCATAGCTTCTGTCTATTCAGTGCACCTCAAACTGAGCCCAACCACTCTACCACCACCTCCTTTCACTGAGGAAACTTTTAAAATTTTTTTCTATATTTTCTATATTTTTACTCTGGAATCCACAAGCTTTGTGTTAATTTTGCAGTAGAACTCCTTAGTGTAGGAGTTAGAAATTGATCTGTGAGTATTAACCATTGGGGTTAAGGAGAATAGGCAGAGAAGACAGTTAATTTGAAGATTCATGAATTTCATTCAGCAGGGCTTACCTTGTTTTCTACCTTGACTGCTGAATCACACAGCCCAAAAGCATTTTTAACAAATTCCTCATTTAAATCATGACTTTTCCTTGAGTCAGCAGACCCTGAAATATCCATCTTTGAAATATCCAGTCTTGATTTCTAAGTATCAAAAAATAACAGAATACTCCACTCAACCCGATCCTCTTTTATCTGGAAATAACTCTTTTTTCCAACCTTCAAATTCTTTATTCTTTAAATTTAACTACATCACATCTCAAGTATTAAAAAATTACTATGATCATAAATCTTTCCAATCTAGATGATAGTAGCAGGCTTCCTCTTACTTAGTTGTAAAGGTCTATCTAAATCCAAGTTAGCTTTGTTATTACTGCATCAGTAATAATAGAAAAGGTCCTACTGAAGGAGATTGATAGGTTATCTTCAGACAGCATGAGCACTCTGAGCATGTCAACTTCAAATCTTTTACCAAAAGCAAGGTTAGAAGAGCAGCTTGAGCCAAAAGAGCTAATTATCAAATACCTAAAGCCCAGGGGGGTGTGTGGGGAGGATGTCCTTCCCCTTGTTTACAAGTGCTCTCTTAGTGATTCTACTGGACTAATTCATTTAAATTCCTTTAGTCTCCCAATAAGAGAGTTTTTCTCTCTCAAAACAGAAAAATTTACAAAATAATTTTATTTTAGCTCTTCTCTGAAGCTCTGTTACAGGAGTTATCCATTTATACATCCCAGAAACTTGCTTTGCTTTTTGGCTAGAGGAACATGTTGCACAGTGTAACATTTATGACATGATGGATGCTTTGTTCTTGTGTATAGGGTGTACAGTCAAAATTTTAGCACCTGTTGCATTCAAACTCACTGAAACTAGTGGCAACAAAGCATTCACACACAGCTGGTAATAGCTTAGGTATTAAGAATTAAGAATCAGTACCACTGGTCATTGATACATTCAATTCCTTAAATCTTACCCAAAAGATCTGTCAGATTTCTAAACTAAAACAGCTGTACAAAAGGAGTAGAGCCATAGCTTAACACAAATCCACCAGGGTATGTGGTAAAGGGACTCTAGGGTATGAGAAAAGTCAGTCAATATTGTGGTTTCCTGGTTTCCGCAATGAATCGCCAAAAGGACAGTGCTCTTTCATACCTTACCATTTATGGTTACAAAAGGCTTTGTAATAGGGGAACTAAGTTAGGAGTTCAGCCACAGCAAAGAAAACCCAGAGAAGTACAGGAAGGAAAAAAATAATAAAAATCCCTTTCAGCTCTGAGCTCTACTACTATCTCAAGTCTGTCATGTAACAGAAGATTTTTTTTTTTTATCATCAGCAAAAGCAGCATTTCATCAAAAACTGTGAGTATATTTCTAAGCAACTGTTTCTCCTTGGGAGCATGCAATAGCTTTGGGTTCTGAAAAGTACAGTGTTTTGAGAAGCAACAGGCTTTCTAAATCTGCAGCACTATGGAGGACAGCACAGATAATTTTCCTGTAGCATGTGAGCTAAGTTGTTCTCTCTTTTGTAACTTGATGCAATCTGATCATTCTTCATAACTGTTAGCAAAGGTAACAGTAATATTTTCACAAATTAAGAGTATAGAGCTCATATAAGATCATACCTTTTATTCATTTTAATGGTAAATACACCTTTACTCTTAGGAGTTTCAGGGCTTTGGGTGTTGAGCCTTACTTTAGAGGTTGTGCGTAGTTACCCCTAAGTAAGGCACTAAAACTCTTCCAGACTTCCCTAAAACCTACTCTTAAACTGATTTCTTCTGTGCAGCCCTGTACAGCACAGAATCAAAAACAAGCACTTCAGAAAGATTTCAAAACTGCTGAACTAAGCAAGTAACTTCTTTTTTTCCCATTTTTAATTTTTTTAATAATGACCATATTTAAAAGCTAAAAGAATTAGTCTTAAATAGCTGCATATGGTTTTAAAGAGAAGAAAAAGCTAATTTCTTTAATTCACTCTGGTGGCACATCAGGTAAACAGTACAGCAACAAAGCAAAATGATACAGTATATTTCATAAAATAAACATAGTTGTATCATGTTAAGCAGTCAAAATATTGCTGTTTCAGGTTTCCAAGACAACTACTGTGCACTTTTCCATCGAGGTTCAGCACCACCTTTTTCTGTAACATACAGTATTTGTGGTCCCAGATATACAGAAAACTTATTAAGTAATGGTTTCTTATCAATTTACAATGAACAAAACCAGTGTTCTCTGGCCCCAGCACCCCTGGTACCAGTAAGAAATGCCTATAACTGCTAGAGGAGGAGACTGAGGGTGGGGAGAGGGAAAGAAAGTGACAACATAAATGCAGTTTTGACTGCAGCCTCTTGTAAGTGGTGGAGCAGCTGACGAGAAATGGATGAGTGTAGGATTGGAACAGAAAGGAAGAATCTAAACAATGTTGAAATATTCACAAAAATACAGGTAGGCAAGTGTGAGTGATCAAACTAACTCTACTCAGAGATAGGAATAAATATGTAAACACAAGCTCTGTCCCAATAACATAATCTGTACAGAGCTCATACTTACAGATCTAAAAATTTTGCCTTCTGGTTCCCACACAATGCACTTGGCCAATAAACTGTCACCAAAAACTATGCTCCTCTTAAAAACCCAACAAAGCTGGCAGTTTTTAAGTTGTCCTTATAAGGTGTTTTGAGAATAAAACAAGGTGACTATTAAGTTGGCACTTGACAGGAGAAAACAAGAGGTTATTTTGTATGTAGAGGCTGTAGAGGCCAAAGAGTCCTGGCCTGTTTAACAAGTCCTCATCACATTAGAGATGTGGATGACTTGCATCACTCTTCTTGGTATGATGCTGTATTAGAACTTGATGCAATACTTAAATACTCACTGGAAATTCACCTTACAGTGTGAGATACACTAGCTTAAAAAAAAAAAAAAAAGACCAGCTCACTTAATATTTATTCCCAACTTAAATTCAAGAGAGGGATTTAGCAGCCTTTCTCCTGCAAGCAAGATGAATTCATCACTATTACTCATACTTTATCCAAGTTAAGAGGATCCTATAATAGCTCAAGAGAGAGGTCCCATCCAAACTCATGGAGGTTACACCACTGGAAACTGCTCAAAGATGAGGGAGGAGGAGGAGGCAGACTTCCCGCCAAGTATCAAACATGTCTCTAATCAAAACAGGGGACTATTCCAAACCTGACCAGATGGCATCCCTAGTATTATCACCAGCAGCTGTCAGTGCAGTGATTATAACTGAAATTACACAGCTAATGTACTGTATAATTTAAGTAGATTGAAGATTAGGCAGAGGGAACATTATGAAAACATTTGCAGCTTATACATTCCTAATAAATAGGGAGACAGCCCACAAAATCTTCAGTACAAAAATACATTTAAATTTTCTATTGAAGGCCCACCTTGTACGCTTCAACATCTCCCAATTCAAATTTGCTCAGACTTCCTGGGCCAATCAAGTCTTCTGCAGTGCTTCATTTTCAAAGACTTAATGATTTTTTCAGAGGAAACACTAAATCAGCTCTTTCAACACTTGTTCTAATATACATAGACAGAGCCAGGAGCCAGAGAAAATTTTTTAATCTGAAAGAATTAACCTTTTAAACAATGAGGAAATTCCAAATAAATACATTTTTCCATACGCATGCAGCATTGCTTTGTCTTGAGAGTTGGAAAATGAAGGATTTCCAGCAGAAGAACGTAGGAATTTTTATGTAAAAAAGAAAAAAATCCACGTGGGTTTCCTTTGCTGTTTAGTGTTTCCTCTTTAATTTTTCTGTTCATGTTTGAAATAGCGTTACAGATTTTTTCTGATCTTCTACATTGGAAAGCAGAAAAAAAATGTACCAGGAAATGCGTATTTCAGTTAAGGGACCGCATTTACAGCTAATCTGGTTCAGCAATAGAACAATGACATCCCTCATTTACACAGCCTGAAGACCTAGCTGCTTAGTTTATATATCCATAGAAGCACTTAATGAGATATTTTTAATGAACCTTTCTTGTTAACGCACTCTGCATAATTTAAATGTCCTTATTCACTTTGGGGAAGAGCAAATATCAGAACTGGGGGAGCAGAGGCAAACAGGATCACTCAGTAGCCCATGCAGAGAGCCAGGGTCAGGCAGTCTGGCTTGTGTCAGGACAGGGAACAGCACTGCACTTAAAGCTGGGAAAACTCTTGGCCGCTTGAGAAAAATTTCCAATTTACATATACGAGTTCCTTTTGTGTCTTAAACAGGTAGACTTGCAGTTTTAGATTATTAGAAGCATGAGCTTAGTGGTACTTCTGCTGTGTGTGTGACCAACATTCAAGCAGACTGTTGGAGCAATTACATTTCTTATTAATTCTTTGGTTAATAGTCCCATGGTTCTTGTTTTCCATGTAACAAGGGGGTTGATTACCTTGCTGTTTCTCAGTGTAACTGGGTCAGTTCAGTAAACATAATGACTCATCTAAAACTCAGTTCATTTAAAAGCACTAGGCCACCAGAAGTTTTCCACAACTCAGTGGAAAGTGGCAGTATCAGTCTTTCATTTTTTCAGTTTCTTACAGAAAATTAAAGATTAATCATTGTTACTGTATGTAAGAATTTCTTACTAACAACACATGTTTTCACTCATCTATCTTTAGCTTCCCACTGTGCTATAAGGACCTGCTACCACATGGTCTTGGGGTCTGTGCTCCAGGGCCAATGATGTTCCCTTATTCCACTTTCCCCTCTGACCAAGCTGCACAATAGGTAAAGGAAAGTCAATTTAATGTGTCTTAATGTGCCATGTTGCCCAGTATTCTAAATATTTTGGAATTCTTTGGGTTTTATAAGTGCTATTTCCAATTTTACATGAATATGCAGGTGCAGCACGAGCATGCTGGCACCATTTGCTGCCACACATTCTATTTATAACACCATTGACCAAGCAAAACACAATACAGCCTTACTTAAGGGTATTAGTTCACATTCTGCATTAAACTCAAATGCCAGTAAACAGGGAAGATTCGTCTTATGGCAGTTTTCAAATTGAGATGCTTCTTACAATGCCAATGTATACAATACATAATCATCAGAAAAGAAAAAACTCCCCTCAAAATGCTGTATGCAAAACTCCCAGTGGATGTTGATGTTTTATTTAAAGTGGAATTAAATATGGAACTGGACAAAATTCTGTACTCTAACAGTAACTTCTTTAGTTTCTAGGGACACCTGAGAACAGCCTTTCACTTTGATATCATGTACTAGCAACTTCAAAATAAGTATTTAAAATTTGCAACTAATCCCAAGTTATGCGAAACAACCAAAGCTGTTTTATTGTCCACAGACGTCTATTTTTATTGCTAATAGCACAAACATTCAGGTGTTATAGAAGCCTAAAAACAGTAGCATGTCAATGTTCAAATACTTTTTTCCTTTGATCATTAAACAGTCAAAGTGAGGCACTTTTACCAGTGAAAACCAGAACTAACATGAAAGAAAGCAACATTCAGAATATATTTCCATTCTTTCCTTTAAGAGCTGAAACTCACAGCTTTGAGAGCTATCTCATCGTTCACCAAATTCAGCGTGGTCCCCTACCTGCAGTAACAGCATAGCTCTGCCAGCCTGGGGCAGATGGAGACCACCTACTCACAGATAACCTGAAGAGCCTATTTGCTAACTTTGGTTTGTACTTGTCTTACACTGTACCTAAATTTAAGTCTGAACACAGGTGGATTTAAGGCAGGAACCACACCATCCTGAAGGCCAGTCAGAAAGGATAAACACTAACCACAGACCTGAAACTATAATCCTGAAAATGCACTGCATGAAGCTGTGCACCATTGCCTTGCACAGGAGAACGGGACTGAAAACTTGTTCAGCATGTATGTAACATATTTTCCTTTTCTCCTTCTGCTCTTCTTTCCTCTCTTATCTCAAAAAAAGCCCACGCAAATCTTGCCAGTCTTGTCCTCTGCCATAACAATGGCTTGTGCCATGTTTTCATGAAAAAACAAACCCCAAAAACCTGCAGTCGCAGCTGTCAGTGAAGTAGATACTGATGATGGGTTGAGCTCACACTGAAAGTTATGGCCCATTTATATAGTAATCCTATATATCATCATGATTAAATGACATAGATTCACAGCAATTATTTTCAGATTCTCCTTATCAAAGCATTAGGAAGATCATTTAGAACACTCTTTGACAAGGGAGCGGGGGGGGGGCTAATGCTAGTCACTCACAAGCTCGGGTTCAGACAGCAATGCCCAAGAGTTTCCCTAGTGTTACACTAATACCAGGTTTGGAGTATCCCTGAATGGGCAAGGCCAAAAAACTTGCAGAAGTCTGAACTGGAAATCTTAAATGCTAAATTTTAAATTATTTCAGTTCTCTTGAAATAAGACAATCACATTTCAGACTACTCCAGAAGAAAAGGCGTCATATAAAAAGGATTCCATTCTGGGAAGATTTTCCCTTTATGCAGCCTTTACCAATACACAACAGAACATCTCTTACTTCAGAGAAACAGCAACATAAAATAGACTGAATTGGACTGTTAACAGAATTCTCCCCAAAAGTTATAAGGTTTTCCTACCCCACCTCCTAGCCTATACACACATACACTTGTTAAAGGTCTATAGGGTAAATTAAAAAAGTGGAAAAGGAGTCTAATGAAAAACATGGTAACTTTTTTTTTTATTATTTATAGTTTTGCAAAAATTAGACTGTTCCTTCATGGAATATATTGTATTTCAGAAACTCGCTACACAACCACAATAACTGTCATGTTTTCCCTCTCCTTTCTGTATTTGATTTTATACCAAAAAGAGGTTGTTCAAGTTTCACAACTCTACATCATGTTGGGAAAGAAGTTGGTGACTGCTCAGAAGAGAGGGGAGACAAGAGCCCTGTGCCTGGGACTAGGAATGGTTGCATGCTCCATGATGATGTACTTTTTTATTGGGATCACCATTGTGCCTTTCTACACTAAGAGGTAATAACAGCCATTTTTTTATGAAATAAAGCTGTTCTTTTTCTTGTCATCATCAAATACAATTATTAAAAAAGTGATAAAAGATATGTTAGTACATTGTACAATAAATAAACCATGTACCCTCAAAGATCTCATAAGGATTTAAGACAGAAAAAAGGAGAAAAAACAATGAGCCAAGAAGATATTAGGCACTTAAAAGTAACCACAAGGAAGAGAAAATTATGCTCCTCAGGGCTAAACAAAACAAAATAATAAATAAAACATTTAGTGTGAAAACACATAAAATCAAAAAACCAACCATGCTTGTGGAAGCTTGACAATGAAAAGCCAAGTCTTGCAAAATAAAAACAGTTTTAAAAAGCTTTTCCACATGCAAGAGAGTGTTGTGTTTAATAAAACTATTAAAACTTGAGCAACAGAAGTCAAGACAAAATTGTTTACTGGAGAATCTGTATCTTACTTCTAACTCAGCCATCATAGGAAACTAGCACAGAGTGTGCCAGAAAATGTTGCAGAATACAATGAATGCTGAAGGAGTTACTATTATCCACACTTTTATTTCATTTTGCAAATTCTGCCTCCACACAAAAAATCAATTTGCAAAAAATCAAAGTAACATGACAAAGAGTGCACCTCACTCGTTCACATTTGAAGATTTTGATAGAGAAAGCGAGGATATCCACCTCGTTCTTCTTGCTAGAGCATCTTTAATCTCAAAACTGTTTGAAAACCGTTAGGTTTAAAACAGAGTAATTCACATATATTTTATTTATTTTCCAGCCTCCAGATTACATTAAAAAAGACAGATGCATGTAAAGAGATTAGTTTGTACGAACTTGAGTGAAATTATTTCTTGTCTTTTTTGCCACCAATGCGTACTGCTGTGAGCAAAAGTTTATTGCATTATCAATAATAGAACAGTAACTCTTGAGAAAAAGGGATATACAACAGCAAAAGTTTAACTTCATCCAGAAAAAATCTGGCTCCTTATTCATGCAAAAGGTCTATGCAATAAAGAAAAGGGGGGAGGGAAAAAACCATAGGAACTGATCTGAGTTCTGAGGATTATTGAAGGAAACTAGCCAAAATAGTTCTGAGATATCGAGTGTACTGCATTTCAAGTAGTTACTACCAAACATTAAAATCCATAGCAATTTTTTCTTCTTGAACAACACTTGAAGCCTGTTAAAGATGGGTAGGTCAAAATCTAACTGCAAAACACAGAATGCATAACAAACAACAGCAACAACAACAAAAATGCTTTCCTGCACTTCTTCCCTATGGCAGCCTTTCTCCAAGTGCAGCTATGGAATCAGGGTGGACACAGTTCACTGCAGCAGGATGGAGCGGTCATGAACTCCAGCCATGCCACCACACACAGATGCATCTCCACACGCAACTTTCAACAGATGCTTCTAATGAGCTTAAAAGCAATATCTTTTGTTTTGGTTTTGTAGCGTTTGGACAACAGAAACTGTGTGCAAGGTACTCAAGGCCAACATCGAGGACAAAGTTCTCTGCCCAGACAGCGAAGGATCAGAGGATGAGGACATCTTTTCTTATCCCTGTCTACAGGTGTGGGTTAATCTGACAGCCTCGGGACAGGAGGTTATGCTGTACCAGACTGAAGATACACTGGAAAGAAATCCTAAGGTGATGGTTTTTAAACAAAGCAGCACAGTAAGAGCAGGAGTTGTTTGTCTTTTACATATTAATGTCTGGTCTTAGACTATTGCTGTGGCAGTGCCTAGAAGCTCTGTTAGGAATTGGGGTTTGGCACTGTAATAATGAAGTGACATTCTCAAAGACTCAAGGGTTTTTTTGAGCACTCATGTTATTGGTTTCCAACAACATAACTCCAATCTGTAAATCTGCAGACTGGGGGCACAGACACACTGATGGAAACAGGGAAACATGGCAAGTGGGTTATGGACATAATCAAGACAATCTTCAAGGATGCTAAACCACACAAGATTTTGTCAGTACTAGTTTGACTTTTTTCCTCAAACTGATTTAACTACAGACTTTGTATTAGAGTATCCATTATAATGAATCACCTTAATTTCTTATTCCAGTGCTCGTACGTCCCAGACAAGTCGGAGAACTCTAAAGAAGTTAAAGCACGAATAGAAACAATTGCAAGCAATTTCAAAAAATACCACACTTTCCCGTGTTACTATGATCCAGGAGGAACACAGACCAATGTTATTTTAAGCAGACTTTATCCCCCCAAAGGCCTCCTCTTTGCTTTCCTCTGGCCTACACTCATGTTTACTGGTGGATGTCTGATTATTGTTCTGGTAAAAATTAGTCAGTATGTTTCTGTTCTTTCTGCTTGGCAGTAGAAAATAAATTTCTAGCACAGATTGTTGCAAAATATTAAAATGCTTTTGTTCTGCCTGTTACTGGCATTCTGTGACTCTTAATATACCAGGTGTCCATCCAAGGGCAGGCATTTCAAAGAACTGAATGGCACCCACTATGGCTGGCAACCCATTACCCAAGGAGAAAATATGATTCCCGGGAATGTCTGAAAATACCTCATAAGCACATGGACCAAGTTACTGTCTATTGTTTCCCTGGGCTTTATGAGGTACAGCTGCTTTGCAAATCTACAATTCAAGTTTACTACTAAACTCTTGTTCCACATTTTAGATGTGGTGCTAGTTTTCCGACTGATTGAGATTAGTTTGTGCCAGATCCATATACATCATCACTGGCAAACACATCCTATATACACTTGTACACCAACACATTAAGTACTCATGGTGTATTCTTCTTGTCTGTTGAGAAAGGCAGCTTTGTTATGGTGCAAAAAGATGTTTGTTTTCATGGCTTTCTTTCTGCTTTTGGGAAAGGGGAGGGAGAAAACCACTCAAAATATACACACACAGACTTTACAAAACTTGCCCTCTAATCATCTAGCACCAGTTGTATATAAAGAAATGCATAAAGTACAGGGTACAGGAAAGAAGCTCATACTAGAAGTTTTTGTATTTAACTCAAATTTTAGTCTTGCTTTATTTGAAACAAGTGCACCACTCAAGGAAGGTTACCTGCCTGCTATTTGCATAGATTATAAAAACTGTTAAGGAGAGGAAGCTAAGACATAAAGAATATTATTATTAAGTAGGGTCCTGGTTCTGGCCAGGACAGGGTTAATTTTTTCAGTAGCCAGGAGGAGGCATGGCTAGGACCCTGATGTTATGCTATACCACCTCATGTCATTTTCCAGGGATGGGGAAGGGCTCTCTTCTGGGTCGGTAGTGTGGGCAGAGGGAGCAGTTGGGTATTGTTGGGAGCGAGAACTCATGTAAATCATTCATTTCTTGTACACTCTTTTATTAGCATTGTTGCTGTTACTACTGCTGTGTTCATTGTCTTATTTCATTGCTGTTTCCAGTAAATTGTTCTTACATCAGCCTGTGATCTTTACCTTTTGTGCCTCCAGTTTTCCTCTCCAGCCACCCACAGGGAGGAGGGGAAATGAGCAAGTGGCACATGGTTTGGAGTGTTTTGGTGGGGACACTAAATTGGGGAATACCATTCTTAAACCACAAAAAGTAGAAAACACCTGTGATGCCTTACTAAATACAAGAAGCTAATGTAACAGACAGAAGTTTACATGCCTAGCAAAAAGATATTTCAAAAGAGGTATTTTTGTTTCCAGTGCCAAGACTCCTAGGAATGCTCTGATGCACATATAGAGACATTCTCTATTCTCTCAAAATAACTCTGTTTCTCTCAGCCAAATTTCAACTGCAACTGGACACCAGAGGAACATGAGATACTTCCCATATACTGTATTTGACTGGCATTCGGAACACAACTAGTACATGCTTTTTCATCACACAACTGATAAACCACTAGAAGCTATCATTCACAGGAAAGTTGCAAGGCTTAGATATAAATTAAAATTCATTAAATTACAGTGGAAAAAGTTATTCTCGTTAATGTGGCAAAAGTCTGTATTGTTTACTGTAATAAAGAGAAAGGTTGAAATATTAACCCATTACTTGCATTTTCTAACATTACAAATGGAACAGTGTCAGAGTTTGCTTTTCATCATGATCAGTAAATGAAAAGTAGACCAGGATAGTACAAAATAGCAGTTATTATCCTCATGAACACTCATTCAACATTCAAAATATAGATGGTTAACTATAAGAAATGTACAAAAGAAAAAAATACCTACTCTAGTGTTTAAGATTCAGATCATGTAAGCAGGGGCTGTTAAAAGAAAATGAAAAAAAAAAGAAAAAAGCTAAACCTCAGAAATTAATATAGGAGGAGCACTGTGTCCACAGGGAAGACAGTATTTACATCTTCATACAACACTTTTGTGAAATACATCTGAAGTTTTGTGTATATACAATTTTAACTTCTCTCATTCAGAAAAGTGAATGTTCAGCTGGCACGGGTACAGGTGGTTTGGGTGACCAAATGGGATGGGAAGGGGAAGGGATCCTACTTTGTTAGTTCATAAAAAGCTGAGACTGGAGTGCAATAACAGCTTAAAAAGTAGGCAAACAGGTAGGATACCTGTTTGAAGGTAATGCACTGTACTGGTACCAAAGGAGATGACCAAGCTAGCCGTGAATAGGATCTTGCAAAGCTTTACTCCAAATTTCATTTTTTAGCAGTTTAGTCTCCAGATTGCAAAGTTGAACTTGCTCATTAGTACTTTACACTCAGTCCAGCAAATTGGCAGCCCTGTCACCTTGCTCTCCTCCCAACTCAGCAGGAGATCAATGAAGGTGGGATGTTGCTGGCAGTCCCTGTGGCCCCACTTACTCAGGAGTCAGTGCCTTATGTTTGAAGAGCAAAAATTCAGCAGAGCTCGGAACTTGGCATGAAGCGTGAAGACCAGGAGTAACTGCTTCCCACTTGCCCTTGGCTTCCCAAGACCATCCCCTAAAGCCACACCCCCTCACCTTCCTACTCATACTTGTCCCTGATAATAGCAGATGAAGATTTATTCGGAGTGCAAGCTGTGTCTCCAGATTTACCTCCTCCAAAAATAAAGCCAGTCAATTGTTACATGAAATTACTTACTTCCCTCCAATGTGGACACATTGCAAGTACCCCTTAAGAAAAACTCTACTAAAATTTTGTTTTCTAAAAAAGTAAAATTTCCTATTTGGACAGAAAATGTTGCAAGTAAAAACAGCCAGTGCAGAGGGAAACCTACACACAAATTGGGAAACTCCATTGTTCTGGAGTCTTGCCAAACATCACTTCTTTTTAGCCCAAAAGAAACAGAGGATTTAAATGTAAAAAGCCAAATATTCTACTGCAGCAAACAAAATGTATAGACACCACAGAAGTCTGTTCTTGTTTTTAAATAATATTTTGATCATGTATACAGTGTTGGTTATTTTCTACATTTTTGCAAGTTTAATGTTAAATACAGATATTATTTTTCCTTTACGCTTTCACTTTCTCCTAATGTTAAAACTGAGTGTTTTACAGTGCATGAGGCTGATGAATCATTCTTTTGAACTTTTGTAAATATTTTTCTATGCTTTTTCCATCTACAAAAGTTGTAATTCACTAGGGAGTGAAGTTTTAATAACACACTGTATGCTTCTTACAGCAACACAGAAGGAAGCAATATACCCTTTGTTTCTGTTTGGTAGGGATAACTCTGATGAAAAATACAATTTTTCTGAGATCCAGTAAAACACTTTCTGTGAGAAGTGCTGCCATACAAGCAGTGACCACTGCAGTTACACAACTCAGTTTCTCAAAGCAGAGTAGATGATCAAGGTGTATATTAAAGCATTAGAACTCCTGCCGGCAGAAGAGAAGCAGTAGCACAAGCAGCTGGAAATGAAATTCATACTTGAAATCTGGTTGACTACACATAGCTTTGACCCGCACGGATGCTTAGACCACAGGAATAGTCTTTGAGTCAACCGGAATATGTAGGGATCACAGAGAGAATGTAGATAGATTTTAGACCCTGATGAATACTTTAGTTGTACAGGCCCTTTATATATCCATATGAACAATAGTGTTTTCCTGAAACTCTTAGAAGTCCTATTTTTTGATGCCAATTTTATGCCCCAAAAGGCACGGATGGAGAAACTGCTCAGAGACTAAGTTTTTAGCCTTTAAGCAGGAGCTATATTTATTTTCAGCGCCGGGAAGCAGCCAGATCGCCCTGGACAAACTGCTTTGTTCCAGCAATTCACAGCTGGGCTTTTATACAATTTTTGCCAAGCAATTGCACCATACAATATGAATATTCATAAATTGCAACATACATTTTTAATATTCATAACAGGTAGAGTTTGGGCGGAGTTAGGGGCGTGGTCTTTAGTATGGGGAGAATCTGAGGGGTCGTTCCTGTTCTTCGGCCTCATGAACTCCTGTCCTTTCTTCCATCATCATCATAAACTTTGTGAACTTCTCTAATCTGGCTGATTTCCTAGTGCATCTGGCAGAGGTTCCTGATATCTGGCAAGGGTACCTGGGCCTCAGCTCATTCTCTTTCCCTTATCTCCTTTTGTTTTTCCTCCATACGTCTAATATTCTGTGTGTTTGCATTTTTAGTTCTCTCTGTTTTCCTGTGTACTTATGCTTCTGTTCTTTCGTGTCAGTGTGTTCTGCATACCTTAATGAATTATTGCCTCCGCTGTTTCTAAGACCAAGTTCTCTGTGCTTTTGCTTAGGACTTGCTTTCTAAATTAACTCTCTAATTTTCGTATTGCTATATTACATTTGCTGTTTAGGCCTTGCCTTGCTTCATTTTCAAGTGCTGGGCACTCTTAGGAGTAGCTTTTCTTCTTAATGTCAAATAAGCTTTGATATGGTGATCCTGTTGGAAGAGGAAGAACAAAAGATCCAGCACAATTATTGAGGGAATCAGCATTCCTCCTAGGCCAAAAAAAAAACCCCTAACCACCCCCCCCAAAAAAAAAAAACAATTGCAAAAGGTTGTAAAGTGAAGCTTGCCCCATAAATGGGAAGCTATTTTTCTGGATGAGTGAGATTCAGCTTTCATCAGCTTGTAATAACATAATCTTTCTCCAGCATTGATGAGGTTGCAACAACAGCAACTGAAGAGGAACCTATGGGACACTGACTTGCTGAGAAGCCACCTGTGAGTCATCAGCATGTTCTTAATGTATCTAAACAATAGCAAGTACCTTCTGACTGCCTCTGACAATTTTGGTTTCAGTATCCTGCTAATTGGTGCTATTTTTATTACCTGGTCCTCAAAGCAGCAACAGGGCAGTATCATCGAGAAGACTCTGATCCTCAGAGATTCCCCACTCGTTGGATAAACCTATGGCACTTGACAGCAAAATGCCTTCCAACTGAGTAACTGGGACTTTGTTCTTAGTTTAAGGGATTTGAGGGGGGTGAGGGGGAGGGTTTGATTGGCTCATTGATTTTGGTTTAGTTCTTTTATTTCTTTTGGGGTTTTTGCTTGGTTCTTTTTTTTTAATAAGGAAATGAGAAAAAACATAACCAATTTAGGGTCTCTAGACTATTCACTATTCAAAAGCCACACAAAATAATTAAGCTTTTTACTTTTGGCAATTTTGATAATAGAAAGAAAACAGCATTTCTGGTTAATCGAGTAACTCCAGATTTACAGCCTGGCTTGAAGTTAAAAAATACTCTAATACAGGAAAAATTATGATCAGGATTGACTGGAGGCAGTTATCCTTTGTGGGAGAGTTGGAGTTGTTCAGCCCAGAGAAGACAAAAGAAGACCTTAGGGGGGAGAACTTAAGAGGCCCTTCCAGTGCCTAAAGGGGCTCCAAGAGAGCTGGAGAATGACTTTGGACAAGGACCTGGAGTGACAGGACAAGGGGAATGGTTTCACACTGACATAGGGCAAGGTTAGATTGGATATTAGGAAGAAGTTCTTCCCTGTGATTGTGGTGAGGGTCTGGCACAGGTTGCCCAGAGAAGCTGTGGCTGCCCCAGCCCTGGAAGTGTCCAAGGCCAGGTTGGACAGGGCTTAGAGGAACCTGGGCTAGTGGAAGGTGTCCCCGCCCATGGCAGCGGGGTAGAATGAGATGATCTTGCAGGTCCCTTCGAACCCAAACTGTTGTGTGATTCTACTTCCTACCTCTTATAATTCCAGGCAGATTTTCAGAAAGTCTCAGCATGCTAAATAGGTTATTCTGTATTCAGTACTTAAAGCAAGTAAGGAGAGCATCTGAAAACACTTCAGCAAAAAGACAGCATGATTCATATTACAGATGAGAGGCAGAGGAGAGAGTTGTTTCTAAGGATCCACCTTTTCCATAAAGTATTGGTACCACACCTAGAACAAGATGACTTGAATGAAGCAAATACCGGCTGTTTAGTCAAACCAAACTCAAGGACATTCTTATATAAACTTTTTGAATAGTCTCTAAATAATTTCATTCACATGCTTTAAAATCTAATGAGACAGTACAATGTATAACAGATGTCTCTAAAAAAAGCTCAGAGATAGAGGCTAAGCACAAGAATAGTGTTTGATGCACCTATGAATTTATAGCTTGCTGCATAATTCTCTCTCTGCTGGAACATTTCAAAATATTGGACATGCTTATTTGTAAAGTGAATAAAGAAAAAAATCTTGACTTCTTTTTGGAGATGACTTTCGATAATCACATGACTCCTAAGTCACCAGGGCTGTCAGCCTCAGCAGCCTAAAACCATAGTGACAGAATTTAAGCCTAGTCTACAGAAAATAGTGACCATTCCTTGGAAAGTCCTCAAACTTGAATTACCCTCTGATTTGTAGGCAGGAAATCCCCACTACCACAGCTGAATCTTGCAAACCCAAAATGAAGCCTGTCCCTAAATGCTACCTATAGAATACACAGCTAGGGTGAAACAGATAAACAATGTGAGTAAATAAACTATCTTGCCTGTTGAGTTTTGGCACCACAGTTTTTGCCATTAGTGCAGTGTTGGGTTTTCTTAAAGGATATATTACATTCATTATATAGAGGTACTGTTGTGTGAGGAAATGTTTGCTGCCTTTACTTA